TGTTCTCTCTGTCAGACTCCTCGTGTCCTTTGAGGAGCTGTACCTGCAGCTGGTGGACCTCCACAACATCAGACCTGTCTCAGAGAACTTCCAGCAGAGGTGGACCTACGTGTCCAGATGGTTGGAGCTGAGCCAGCTGCTCTCTGATCCTCTGTGTGACTGCTGGACTCAGAACATGGAGGAGATGGAGAACTCCAGCCTGGACCTGCTCACCTTCAGACTGTGGGAGCTCCGGGAGGATCAGAGGCCCCTGATCTTCTCCGGTGTGGAGTTCCTGAGGAGCACTCGGCTCTGTGTGTCTGAGCGGGCACAAAGGGCCCTGTGGCTGGAGGTCCGGGCCGTCTCCTCGGGCTTCAGTCAGAGGTTGTGTCTGCTGGGCCTGGCCTGCCTCATCTACCCCCTGGTCCTCTGCTCCTTCAAACAGATGACCTCCTGGATCCAGGACTACGCCCAGAACCTGAAGGAGAAGACCGCAGACCTGAAGAGGCAGAGGCAGCTCGCTGAGGATCTCCTGCACCAGATGTTGCCCAAGTCTGTGGCCAAACAGCTGCGTAAACACCGACACGTGGAGGCCGAGAGCTACGACAAGGTACGAACGAAACACGAACGAAACATGAACGAAACACGAACGAAACACGAACGAAACACGAACGAAACACGAACGAAACACGAACGAAACACGAACGAAACACGAACGAAACGAAACAAAATGACACACAACAAACTCTGAGAAACGTGTTTACTAAACCTACACCACACACTTCAGGTTCATGTCTCTATCTTGTTAAACGGCGCCTGACCTCAGCTGCAGTGTGAGGTCCGGGGCCCGTGGAGCGTGTGGTGAGGAGCTTCTTGAGCTGGGACCAGATGAGGCGCACAGACCTCGGCCTTTGTTCCATTGTCCCTGTAATTGGCTGTAATTACTCTGCTCCATATTCATGAGCAGATAAAACAGACTCAGGCTCAGAACAGAACACAGTTATTAGAGACGCAGGCAGCTGCAGGGGCGGGGCCTCTACCAGGGGCGGGGCCTGAACTGATAGGGGCGGGGCCTCTGAGAGGGGCGGGGCCTCTACCAGGGGCGGGGCCAGAGCTGTTAGGGGCGGGGCTGAGCCTCATTTCAAAAGTATTTATTCAGTTTACACACTCTTTCCCCTCTGTGTACTCTGTATACTACTGTAGTACTGTATACTACTGTAGTACTGTGTACTCTGTATAGTACTGTAGTGCTGTGCACTCTGTATACTACTGTAGTACTGTGTACTCTGTATAGTACTGTAGTGCTGTGCACTCTGTACACTACTGTAGTGCTGTGCACTCTGTACGTACTCTGTATACTACTGTAGTACTGTGTACTCTGTATACTACTGTAGTACTGTGCACTCTGTATACTACTGTAGTACTGTGCACTCTGTATACTACTGTAGTACTGTGTACTCTGTATACTACTGTAGTACTGTGTACTCTATACACTACTGTAGTGCTGTGTATTTTGTACTGTAGTACTGTGTATTTTGTACTGTAGTACTGTGCATTTTGCACTGTAGTACTATGTATTTTGTACTGTAGTACTGTGTATTTTGTACTGTAGTACTGTGTATTTTGTATTGTAGTACTGTGTATTTTCTACTGTAGTACTGTGTACTCTGTACACTACTGTAGTACTGTGTACTCTGTATACTACTGTAGTACTGTGTATTTTGTACTGTAGTACTGTGTATTTTGTACTGTAGTACTGTGTATTCTGTACTGTAGTACTGTGTATTCTGTACTGTAGTACTGTGTATTTTGTACTGTAGTACTGTGTATTTTGTACTGTAGTACTGTGTACTGTAGTACTGTGTATTCTGTACTGTAGTACTGTGTATTTTGTACTGTAGTACTGTGTATTTTGTACTGTAGTACTGTGTATTTTGTACTGTAGTACTGTGTATTTTGTACTGTAGTATTGTGTATTCTGTACTGTAGTACTGTGTATTCTGTACTGTAGTACTGTGTATTTTGTACTGTAGTATTGTGTATTTTGTACTGTAGTACTGTGTATTCTGTACTGTAGTACTGTGTATTTTGTACTGTAGTACTGTGTATTTTGTACTGTAGTACTGTGTATTTTGTACTGTAGTACTGTGTATTTTGTACTGTAGTATTGTGTATTTTGTACTGTAGTACTGTGTATTTTGTACTGTAGTACTGTGTATTTTGTACTGTAGTACTGTGGGTTCACTGCTGCAGACTGAGGTTCTTGTGGTGCAGGAATCAAAAGAATCGTCGCCCAAATATGAACTGATTCTAAAAACTCAGGTCCTGAACTCAGACGCTCAGTGACACAAGTGAACAGAATATGAAAATATAAAAATAAAAATATGAAAAATATGAAAATATGAAAATATGAAATATGAAAATATGAAAATATAAAAAATATGAAAATATGAAAATAAAAAAACATGAAAATATAAAAATATGAAACTATGAAAATATAAAAACATGAAATATGAAAATA